CCCAAGTATCAGAAACCATAAGACTTGAAAACCTTGTATCCCTCATATCAAGCATTACGCATTACATGGGACCAACAGCCAACAGTCATGCCAAAAGAAATGTTTTCATTCCCCACCTCCCAGTATATGAAATCATTTGCCCAATCTCTACTATGAAGCAATTTCTTTCACATAGTGGAATCCCCCAACCGCCAATTGATCAATGTCGGATGAGAGGAGTTGCAAAATTTCCCATGCATGAAAATGGCCCACAAGGAATCACCTTTCCGAAAATTAAACCATTGTTTAAAAACATTAATATCAGTAATATGGTACAAAGATTTGAAACCCAAACCACCAGCATAGAGAGGTTTGCAAATATTCTTCCAAGGCAACTTTTCTTTCTTTGCTGATTGCTCTAACAAGATTTGGTTATTTTGGCGGAAGCATATCACAGTAGATGTCCTTATTGATGATATACAGTTTGTGCACAATTCTTTTCTATGGATGTCTCACTTTTGTTTACATCGGGACTACTAATGCTGCTAGATATGATCTTTGACACAAACTATCTGATATGGGTGCCTTAATCCACTAGAATTGGATGGTTAGAGGGGATTTCAATATGGTGATGCATGATTCTGAAAAATTGGGTGGTTGAAGAATTGACACCACTTTAACTAATAAATTCAATAAAGCTTTGGATCTGGCTGGCATTTCTGATCTGGGTTTTGTTGGTTCTAAGTTCACTTGGAAAAGGGGAAAGTTTTTGAATGCCTAGATAGGTGTTTTGCTAATCAGTTGTGGATTTCCTCTTATGGTTTTTCGCAAGTTCAGCATCTTTGCAGATCTGGGTTTGATCACAACCCCCTTCTTTTGTCCTTCAACTATTTCAAAAAGGTTTCCACCTATCACTTTTGTTATCTAAACATCTGGGCTAGACATGATGACTTTTTGCGAGTCATTGCTACTAATTGGAGATGTGAGTAGGTGGGCAATGCATGGTTCACACTTTGGAAGCTGCATAAAAAGGTGGCTTCTGCTCTAAGATCTTGGAACTTGGATGTCTTAGGTGATGTTCATGCTAAAGTTAAGAGGGCTGAGTAGAGGGTCAGTCTCCTACAGGCTCTTGATGAATCTTCTGATGATATTATCCATGACTTACATGAGGCTAATAAAGAATTACTGGAGGCCTCCCTTTGGGAGGACTTGTTGCACAAAAAGCTGGGGAAACCCACTTTTCTCAAGGTGATAGAAACACCAAATACTTCTATGCTTGCATTAAACAAAGACGAGCCAATAACACTATTGTGAGGATTAAAAATGATGAGGGGAGCTAGATTACTGGGGATGAGGAGATTGGGGAAAGCGTTGTTCTTTATTTCTCTAAACTTTTTGAGTTTCATGAGACTTTGGGCTCTATTGAAGCTTTCTTATTTGATGATGTATGTCATCATATGGTGGATCTCGATCTCTGTGGTATTCCCTCGAATGAAGAAATTTATTCTACCCTTCTGAACATTAATTGCAATAAGGCCCCTGGGCCTGATGGTTTCACCTCTGCTTTCTATATTAAATGCTGGAGTATTGTTAAGGATAAGGTGGTGGAAGCTATACAGAGTTTCTTTAGGGAGACCCCTGGAAATTATTTCTCTGCCGCTACTATCGTTCTTATTCCCAAAAACACTCAAAAAAGCTCTTGGGACCATTTTAGACTTATTTCTCTGACTTCTGTCATATCTAAGATGAATAAAATTTTAGTCAGGAGTATTCAATCTTATCTCCACAAATTAATTCCTTGAATCAATCTGTTTTTATTCAAGGGCGAAGGATCACGGATAATAATATACTTGCACAGGAACTCATCTTGAATATTGATAAAAAAAAGTAGAGGGGGAAATATGGTCGCTAAATTGGATATTCGCAAGGCTTATGATTTTGTTAGTTGGGAATTTATTTTGAAGGTGCTTAAAGCTAGGGGCTTTTCCCAGAATTTTTGCAAAATTATTCTCTCATGGCTCCATTGCAATAAATATAGCATATTCATCAATGGTCAATCTCGGCGCTTCTTTAGTGCGGGGCGTGTTATAAATCAGGGCGACCACTTATCCCCTACTATTTTCATTTTAATATTTGATTATCTTTCTCGCCTTTTAAATAGCCTTTTCAGGAGAAACTCCACTTTGCAATGCGCTCATAAATCCAATACGTTGGTAACACATTTAGCGTATGCCGATGATATGATATTGTTCTCTAATGCTAGCAAAAAAACAGTGAGGGAAATTCACAGTTTAATGGTGAACTTCCAATCTGTCTCTGGTCTCCTTTTTAATGTCTAAATGCAACTTATACATGGACTTATACATGGAAAATACGGTCAATCGCTCTAATACGTGTTGGATTGTCAAGTTTACTGGATTTTCTATTTCTACCCTTCCACTTAAATATTTGGGGGTCTTCTTACTTAAATGAAGGAAGAGGTGAATTCAGTTTGATGAGGTGGTGGAAAATGTGCGAAAGAAAATCTTAGATTGGAAAAATAATTTACTCTCTTTTGGGGGTAGAATTACGTTGCTCAGGAGTATCTTACATCCTCTTCCTTTATATACTCTTCAAGTTTTCCAACTAAAGAAAAACACTCTTTTGAGCCTCGAAAGATGTTTCAATAAGTTTTTATGGGTGAGGAATCATTCTGGTATATATACTTTTTCGGGAGAAATATAGATTGGCACATAACATCAGAGATTTTGACGGCAAACAGAACTTGAACAAATACCACTTTATTGTACTCACTGTCGTATGTTTGGACATTCTCCTTCTCAAAGTTATCAGTTGCATCTGAATTTAAAACCTTCAAGTAAAAACGCTTTTGGATCTGCCCCACCTCACCTCATACCCTCATACCCGTCCCTCCTCCGCTCCTGAGTGCATTCCACAAACTATTGAAACACCGGTTGAAACGATGCCGCCTCCCCCTCCCACTACCTGAGACAATACTTCTATTCTTCCGACTGATATATTGGCAGATTTATTACTTGGGTTCGATAATCATGATATTATTGAAGCTCAACATCCCCAGGATGCATCAGGTGTTGAAGAGACATGCTTACCATCTCTTCAGAATCAGAATGTTATTACTGCTAGTCAGGAGCCGGGGGCTCATTCTCTACTACATGCCCAACAATCTGTTGACCATACCGATCAGATGAGCCAGTCCTCGGATGAGGAATGACAGGTTTACACATCTAGAAAGAAAAAGAAGAATGGAGGCACACCCCAACTTGGGAACTTAATGGATGATACTCTAGTAACTTTGGGTAATGGAACGACACTCA